TTATTAAGTAGATGAGAAGGTAGTTCAAGATAGAACTCTATAAATGCACAGTGAATTCCCCTGATTAATTCATGTTTAAATTCTTTCACCAGCCAAGATACCTATTTTCAGGAAACTGAAAGAAAATAGCTCTGCCAGACTTAATTTGGCTTGCTATAGAGTGAGTGAGCAGGGCTGGCCAGAGAGCTGTGGGACCTGCCAGACCAGAATCGCCTTGTTCAAGATGCCCATGCTTAGCAGCTCTTGCAGGGCACTGGCAGGATGCTAAAGTCCATGTAAGCAGCTGGCAAGGCAGAATGAGCAGAGAACTCTACAGTTATGTAGATAAAATTGGGAATTTGTAATATTTTATTCTGTATTTTGGTCACTCACTGCTAGGAAAAAAATCCATGACTCATCTACACTTCTCTAACTTGAAGGTCATGTTTGTATGTGCATGAGAGAGAGAGTTTTCTAACTTATTCTGTTTATTGGTCAGGGGCTAGGGTAGGGGGTTGTAAACAGACTTCTTAACGAGTTTTATCCCAAATAATCCACCCTTACTTCTCAGGTAGAAGTTATTTTTAAATGTGTGCTCATGAGTAATTGGCCCAATTTTATTTGGAATAGAACCTCACAGTCTGTGGTGTGCACTGAACCTACACGTGACCATTCTGTTAAAACAAGTTGAAGCAAGGCTGCTCAGGGCTCTGCCAGCCTGAGACTGTCAGAACCTCCCCCCACCCAGGCCGATCCAGCCTTTTCTCCCTAGGACTGTAACCCTGTCCCGCATTTCCACAGTGACTGAGGGCATGACTTCATCACATTCCATTCCCTTCAGCTGGTGAGCCATTTGCACAAGAGCTGGAGTTCAGATGCTGGCTTCATGGCTGCTAAGGCTGCAGTCAGTTCAGGCCTCTTACTCATTCCCCCAGTCCAGCCCTGGGGACCCTTATGGTGAGAGTCGGGTATGCGGAAGAGCTCCCATCCCTCTACCCATCATGGGTGGAGGGACCCGTGTACTGCAGGGCCACCTGGGGCAGAGTCCACCTCTTGGACTAGAATAGGCGGGGCTGTGCGTGCCTGGCATCTTTGCTCGGTCTCACCAGTCAGAGAAATCATACTCGCTCCTTGGGGAGGACAGCAAGGGCAAGAGAGAAGAGCAGGTGGTTTTTGCCGGTCCTTCCACGGCTGGAAATTCCTCTTTAACGAGTCCAGGCAGGAGTGCATAGGGGAGGAGAAAATGTTTCTGTCTGCATCATCTACCACAAGATAGCAGTTTTTCGTATGGCCTCTGTCACCAAGTTCTAGATCTATCCCCTGCCCCACACTGTTGTTGGGACGAAGGCATACAGAGCATCCACATGATATTCCAGGGAGCAGACAACATATTTTCATCTGGGCAAGCAGTTAGACCGAATCTCTTGAGACACCCTCATGGTGGCTATAGCAAAATGGGCAGAGAGTTTACAGCAGTGGGCACAGCTTACCTCAGTGGGTCACTGTTAGCTTGAGAGGGCAAAGAGAGGCAGGACACAGAGGCTCTGCCTGCTTAACAGTGTTATTACAGCCCTAGGTGACAGTGTGAAAGGAAGGTGTGGCCAAGCAAAAGGTCTCCTACCTGCCCTATGTTTGTACAGATTATTTGAAGCTGAACACAGGTTTTTGCAGCTAATTGGGAAAGTATGCTCAATGGAGCACAGTCAGCATTAGAGAGCAGGACGTGGTGGTTTCCCCATTACGGTTCATCCTCCTGGTTTCGGTTTATCTGTGAGGATCATTGGGATTTTATTTGATCTGTTTAATCAACACAACTTCTGTACTTACTCTATGCCAGTTTTTAAAAGAATGTCCTGGGGTTTGGTAACCCCAAACCCAGGCTTAACTGCGATTGCACCATGGAATAGAGCAGACTTGTAAGAAGTGGAGTCAGTTAGACTCCATTGTTGTGTGTCCCTTTCTGTGGAAGGATTGTGTATTTGAATCCCTTTGATAGACTTGAATATGCGTGGGCTCAAACCCTCAGCTCCATCGCTTAATCGAGGGGAGTCATTGAACCTCTCTGAGCCTGGTTTCCTTATCTTTAGAGTGACCATAATAATAGTACGTGTGTCATACTGTTTTTCAACACTTAAAAGACACACACACAAGCCGAGCCCGTGGCGCACTCGGGAGAGTGCGGCGCTGGGAGCGCAGCAGCGCTCCCGCCGCAGGTTCGGATCCTAGATAGGGATGACCGGTGCGCTCACTGGCTGAGCGCGGTGTGGCCGGTCTCAAAAAAAAAAAAAAAGACACACACACACACACACACACACGTACATACACAAATACATGTCTATATATCCTACGCAGTGCAGCGGCTGGTGTGTAGACAGCACTCAGGAAACACAGACACAACTGTAGAGGGTAATAATGGAGATCTGAGCTCCACATGATCAGAGGAGGGACCCCAGTCTGATTCCGTCTGTCAGAACGCATAGGGACTTATGTGCTAGATCATAGAGGCACTCATACGTTACCTCTCCAGGGAAGGCTCTCAGGAGCCCGGAGGCATGCCTTGGGGTCACCGTGGGGATTGAACACTACTGCTCCAACCAGAGCAGCTCCATTCTTATTTCCTGTTTATAGATTGTGTGTGTGTGTGTGTGTGTGTGTGTTTGTGTGTGTTTGTGTGAGAGAGAGAGAGAGAGAGAGAGAGAGAGAGATATGTCAGGGGTTCTTAGCTGAGGGGATCTTGTTCCTGAGGGGACATTTGGCAATGTCTGGAGAAATTTTGGGTTGTCACAACCCAGGGACAGGGATGCAGATTGCTACTGTCATCTAGTGGATGGAGGCCATGGATACTGTTAAACAAACATCCTGCAGCGCACAGGGCAGCCCCCCACATCAAAGGACAGTCCAGCCCCAAATGTTGGTGATGCTGGGTTTAGAAAGCCTACTATAAATGCATATGTGTATGATGGGACAGGGGGACCCTGTGCATAATTGTATTTGGCAAAAGAGTCTAGGAAAAAATTAGAAAACCAGGATTATATAGTGCATCTGGAAAGAACCACCTGTTGCTGGTAAGTCTGAAAAACTGCATCCCTTAGGAATGGTAGGAAGAGGTCCTTTTGGGGGTTAGAGTTGTCCAACTGGGAAGCAGACTGCCGTGGAAGGGGTGGACAGCCCACTGTGGGAGTGTGATCTGGACTAATTTTACATCAGTAAAATGGTTGTTACCGAAACAACTGTATTTTAGAAATTCATGTCATGTTAAAGACATTCATTGTATCAAATGATCACCTGTTCCCCACTGCTGTGTGGTGCTCTGCCTAGTATTGACTGAGAGAAGATGCTCTCCAAGAGCCAGGCTGTTAACATGAGAACATCAGTGGAGAATATCTGCATCTCACCCAATCTGCATACCACATGAGGGTTATTTTCCAGTTCAGGACAAAGTTTTTAATATTGATCTGATCATGGCATCAGGATCTGATTAGGTAACACTTTAAGCCTCTGATGAGAAATTGGCCTTGAATATTAAGTTGAGTTGCCATTTTTATTGCTGTTTTTATAGATCAAAAGCAGTTGGATATTAGCAACTCGATATGGTTTAACCTGCTACAGGATTGAAAGTGACAGTTTGTGATTTATATACAGATTACTTTATAACTTTCCTAGAGGAACTCTGCATAAATGTTTGCATCCCTGTGCCAATCTCTGGGTAAACTTGCATCTCCAATTAAGCTGTTAGTTACCTCCTCGAACAACCAGCACTCACCAGGAGTCCAGCCTGGGCCAGCATACCCATGATGGACCTTCTTCCAATAGAAGACAAGATCCTCATTTTAACAAAGTGGTGTTTCCCAGGGTGGCTTATCTTCACCTTTCACATCTGCTCAGTTGGGAGGAGAGGACTTCTGTTAAACTTAAGAAGCCTCAAAAAACACTCCCAATCCCTACTACCTCTTTTTATTCCTCCGCATTTAAAAAGGAACTGGGAACCTTGAAGACATTGAGCTAAGTAAAATAAGTTGGTCACAGAGGAACAAGTACTGTATAATTCCACTTATACGAGGTACCTGAAATAAGCAAATTCAGAAAGACAGAAAGTAGAATGGTGGTTGCCAGTGGCTGGGGGAGAGGGAAATAGGGAGTTCATGTTTAATGGAGATGGATGGTGGTGATGGTTGCACAACATTGTGAATGTACTTAATACCACTGAACTGTATACTGAAAAAATGGCTAAGATGGTAAAGTTTATTTTATCACAATTTTTTAAAAAAGAAGCTAGCTTGTCTGTTATCATATGCTGAAGCCAGATACAACCCTGGTGTTTAGCTAAAAAGGGGTGGTGGTAAAATGCCTAACATCCATGCTTATATTGTCATCAAACCAAAGTGAGATTAGTTCATGGCATCATCATCTGGGCTTCTTAAAATATTTCCCCTACATTAAGGCCGTCTTCTAGGTACCATATGTTCCTGGTAGGGTGTATTAGTTCATTTTCTGTTGCTTATAATAGAATATCTGAAACTGGGTAATTTATTTAAAAAATGAAATTTCTTATAATTTTGGAGGCCAGGAAGTTCAAGGTCCGGGGGGCACATCTGGTGAGGGCCTTCTTCTTTGTGGGAACTCTCTACAGGGTTCTGTGGTGACACAGGGTATCACATTGCAAGGGTTGGGTGAGAGCATGCCAAGATGCTAACTTGCTCTCCTTATAAAGCCCCTAGTGCCACTCTTTTGATAACCATTCATTCATTAACCCATCAATCCGTGAATGGTTTAATCCATTCATGAGTGCATAGGTCAAATCACCTCTTACAGGCCCCACCTTTCAAATACCATACTGGGGGGGACATTTCAACCATAGCATAGGATGAGAGTACTTTGGGGACTTTTAAGTGTGTGCTAACCCCTACATTTGAACTCTGGAGAGACAAAATTATTCATGTTTTTAGAACCAGGTGTCTTTAGAACAGGCCCTGAGTAGTCAGGCTCAGTAACCATCTTCTGGTATGTTTTTGGTTTTCCAGGACAATGTCAAAAGCATATCCACAATCTCCAAAGATGGGGAAGCCGCCATACCCAGGGTCTCCCGTGAAGTACCGCCTTCCTGCCTTTCCCAGCCTAGAAACTCCCAAGAAGAAAGCAGAGAAAGAAAAGAGCAACAAGGAAAAGGAAGGTGCCTCTGGTCAGCAGGCCACTGGCCCACATGGAGAGGAAGCCCTAGAGAAGCATGTGGCAGACAAGTACGCCAACGAGAAGCACGTGGCTGACAAGTATGCCAGCGAGAAGCATGGGACCGCAGGAGGGAAGGCAGAGAGCAGCACAGGTAGACCTTTTTGGCTTCCCCAAGATGGTTCTCCCTCTAACCTGACCCACGTGCTATTCTCTTGTGTTTGCAGGAGAGAGAGGGATTTTTTTCCTGGGACAACTCCATCCCCTCCTACTGCTTTCTCAGGCTTGCACCTTGCTCTTCAATCCTTTCCCTCAGTATCCTGAGGGTCCCCTGGAGGAGGAGACCTAGAGGCTGACTCCACTAATGGCTGTGAAAGCTCACGGGGCTGTGTCCAGCCAGCATTTGTGCTACCCGCAAGAGAGGGTCTTCCTTTAGTCCTTAAAGCTTCTGTGATGCAGTGAGTTCACCCCCGTGGTGACTGCTGTGGGACTTGCCAGTGACCCTGTCCCTCCTCCTCACCCTCTGTGAAACATATGCAGGGTCACAGCCAGCCCATTGCAGCTTCTCTTGCTCGGTGGCTATTTGTGCCAGTCCTGGCAGCATTTCCCATCAGCACACTTTGTTGAGTTTTTTGTCTCCAAGTGGCAGCTACTGTGTGAGTGGAATTGTTCCATTCGTTTCCCTTGATCTTTTCCTCTTGACGCCTCTCCTCTGATGCAGCCTTAGGGAAGCCCACAGCAGGCACCACTGATGCAGGGGAGGCCACAAAGATCCTGGCTGAAAAGAGACGACAGGCCCGGCTGCAGAAGGAACAGGAGGAACAAGAACGACTGGAGAAGGAAGAACGAGACAGGTATGTGGGTGCTGAGTGTTGGTGTGATCTCATGTAAAGGCTATGTTGAAATGAGCAACTTGCCTTTCTTTTCGCAGTTTTGGTATTACTAAAAAATGAGCAGAATGCCTGGACTGCATGGAAGGTGTTCAGGAGACTGCATCTTCTATTAGATGTCATTAACAGCAATGGAACTTTGCTCTTTTGAGAGGACGTGGAAACTCATAGCTCTGGGATCTAAATGTTACAGGCATCTTCCCAGTCTCCTCCTGTACTTTGAGACCAGGCAGGCCTCGTAGAGCTACAAGGGGAATTTGAGCTTTGTTTATAGAATGAGATTCTCCCTGGGAAGACAGGAAGTTCAGGATGTAGAGATCTTGATTGTGCTTCCCAAATTGTTTTCTCCCCCAAATTATCCTAACTCTAAGTTATCCTAATTATCCCAGAGTGAGAGAGAGGAGAGTTGAGCAGGGTCCCACAGATGGGGGCAGTGGAGGTGGGGAAGAGCCGATCTCATAGTCCGTGAGCAATGAGGTATGTGGAGTCCCATCCTGGAGCAAGACAAAAGACGTCATTGCAGTAGTCCCTGAACCTTGGAGAGTATGGGAATCATTTGGGGAATGCAGTGAAAATGTACAGAGCCAAGCTCTGTCCTGTTTCAGCAGCTCACCAAGGTATAACCACTGTGGTATTAGTAGATTTTATCATTAAATTGATAAAGGAAGCTCTTCAGATAATCACAAAGTGCAATCTAATACTGTTTAGAGAATTAGCATGACAGGAAGCAAGTAGTGCTGTAGTACTTCAAGGCCAACACTGAATTTAAAATAATAGAAAATTCTTGGTCCTTTGGTGACCTTGGCAAGCCTTCGTGGTCTCTATTTACAGGTTAGCTGATCTAGTTTTTTGAAGTGGTGAGGGGTAGGTCTAGCTGATCCCTTCTTCAAATTCTGGATTTCTCTGATTATTTTTCTACCTCCAGGTTTTTGGCAAATATTGACAGGTTTTTGTTGTTGTTGTTGAGTGGTGTGTTTGGGCTAGTTTGGGTGGGCCTTGGGAGCATAAAGGGAGGTTGCAGGAGATGAAGATGAATCGTAGATCCTCAAATGACAGGTCTTGGTAATTGCAGGCCCTGGAGTTACCATGCAGGCTCTGAGCAGGTGAGTAACATGATTGTAGCTGTGTGCTTAGGAAGGTGAAGTTCTTTACCTTCTAGCTACCATCCTCTCTCACATCTCCTTCACAGCCCAGCTCCTGAAAGATTTGATTGTACTTTCTCAGCTCACACTGTCTTCACACCTCACACCACCATTCCTCCTAATTACTGGACACCTAATTGATTTCTCTGTTGGCTTTGAACTTGCTGAGCTTGCCCTCGCTTCTCTGCCTCTCCTCAGTTTCCTCTGTCCACTCCTCATCCCCTTAAATGTTGCCTGGGCTCCTAGCCCTTAATCTTTGACCAGCTTCTTGCCTGACAAGCCCTCCACGAACAGCATTGCTCCCTTGTGCTCTGCCAGTGCCCCACAGTGCTGCCACTTCCTCCGGCTGAGGTCCTTTGGTGTGCTAAACCAACTTTGCTGTCATCTTCCTTCCTATCTTCATTTTCCTTTTGCCTCGTTTTTTCATCTGTTTCTGAAGCTAATCACAGGTTGCCTTGTAAACTTTCCATACTTTCTGAAACAAGGGAGGCGCTAAATAACACATGCATAGTGATGACTCCTATGGCCTGGGCTCTGTCTAGGGCTGTGCAGTCCAGCACCATAGCTTCTAGGCACATGTGACCACCAAAATGTAAATTAAGTAAAATTAAGTAAATCTCAGCTCCTCAGCCATACTAGTCACATTTCAGTTCTCAATAGCTACATGTGGCTAGTAGCTACCATATTAGATGGCACAAGGCTATATAGCACATTTTCCTCATCACAGAAAGTTCTATTGGATACCACTCATCTACAACCTAGAGACCATATTTCCAACTGTCTTATGTTTTCATTTGAGTGTGTCCCATATGCATCTCAAATTCAGCATTCCAAAGCAGAACTTAGTATCTTTCTCCCAAATGTCCTTTTCCTTTCACAAGATCTGCACCCCCATCTATCCAGGCACCCAAGTCAGAAATCTCAGTACCAATTTCACCTCTTCCCTTTCCTTCCTCCTCTATATCCCATTAGTTGTCAGGTCCAGTCTCCATAGCTGTCACATTAGCAACTCTGTTCTCTCCCTTCTCCTCCAGCCTGAGGTCCAGCCCCTGTTGTCTGTGACCTGGACTGTGTCAGTGGCCATCTCAACTGCACTGCTAGCTCTAAGTCTCCTGAAGCTTGTTCGCTGTCCACGCTGTGTCTGTAGTGACCTTTCTCAATGTGATTGTCTTACTCCTGTCCTTTAACAAGCCAATGGCTCCTCTGCCCACAGGATCTACCCAAACCCATCAACAGGCCTTCAGGGCCTGTCATGAACTGGCCACTACCTGCCTCCCCACCTTTCTGCCCCCTGGGTGCCAGCGTGCAAACCTCCCTGACATTCCTCCATCATACGGCTCCACACCTCCAAATCTTTGCTTTTACTGTGTCCCCACAAGGACTCATGCTTCTTCTATGCAGACACCTTTTTCTTTCTCAAGATAGAGGTCAAACTGGCTCCCTCTCATAGACTTTTTGGCCCTGTGCCTGGGAGAGAACCAGCCACACCACTCCTCCCTTACTGAGCCCAGCTATTCAGTTGACTAACATAGCCTCATTTGTGTACAGGCCTCTTTCCTCCTAGTTAGCCCCTTAAAAGGCTGGGCTACAGTCTTTGGATCACTGATTCCTGGTGCTCAGTAAATGTATGAGAAAGGAAGAGGAGGAGGAAGAGGCCCAACTAAGAAACCATCACAGTAGTAGGTTAAGAGAGTACAAGAGCTAAAGTAGAGTGGTGAAGGCAGACCTGGAAAAGCGAGTCTATGGACTGTACAACTCAGAAGAAATGGGCAGATTCGAAGTTGATGCTAAGGTTTGATTCTAAGGACTTAGCAGAATGGTGTACCCAATAACAGATAAAGGAAGGACAGAAGGAATTGGTTTTAAAGGATAAAGCTATTTTATTTTTAGAAACTAAGTTTAAGGTGCCTGCAAAATGTCCAGGTGGTTGGAGATGACATTGAATCTTAGGGCCTAGGTAAAAATGAGAGCAATACACTTGACCCAAAATTAGTTTTCCTCTCTCTTGCCAGAATGTGAAGCTTTGCTAGTGCCATGTGGAAGGTGAGAAAGGAAAGTACCAGACATCCTGGGGCTGGAACACAGCAGACACCTCTTGGAATAAGATCATCCTCACATCTGTTTTGTGATTAGAGTCAATAGTTAAAGCCACAGAAATGTCATTGCCAAATGAGAGAATGTAGAGAATAAAGATCCTTGAGCCAAACTGTGGAGAGCCCAATTATTGTCACAAACTGTTGAGGGAAATACCATCCGGGTCAGGGGTGGTGGAGTCTGCTCAGAATAGAAGGGCTACTGACCAGGTGTCCACACAACTAGAAGAAGAACAGAAGCTGGTCCAGTCCCAACTAGCAGAAACATCAGGGTCCTCTGAGAAGCACATAGAATAGCACCCAGCCCCTGGGCTTGTGGATGGCCCAAGATGGAAAGTGGGATCCTTGGAATTGGGGCAAGAAACCTCAGGCCCTGGTCTACCCTGTGGAGGGCATTGGCAGAAACTAGTAAGCAAGAGGTCCTACTGGGATTCCAAAATGGATCATATGAAGTCATGTTAAGAAGCTAAAATAGCTGCTAGGAGCACACATTAAAGAATATTCCATAAGGCAGCCCCCACGAGCAAGGTCACATAGCCAGGCTGAAGCTCAGTGTCCAGGCAAGAGTTAGGCCCAGACCTGGAAGCATGGGCAGAGGTCCTCAGGGCCACTCAGCCCTGGTTCCTCACTGGCTGAACCTCCCTATGGCAGGTGGTTTGGTGAGAACTAGGGAAGGCAGCAGCCCATCCAACATAGGGAGAGGCAGGAGGGAGCCAGGGTGACACAGCACAGGGCCGTAGAGAGGGCCTCACTGGAGGGATGCTTTTTAATGTTGCCAGCACCTGTGAGACATGTCAGGGCTAAAAAGGCTGTTGGTCTTGGGGTTTAGGAGATGAGCAGAGATTTTGGAGGGAGGGTGGAGACAAAGCAGCCTGAAAGAGGTGAGAGGGTAGAAGCTCTGAATGTCAGCTGGCCATCGAGCAGTCACAAAAGGAAGGCAGGCAAGAGAGGACCAGGAGGGCTGCTCAGCATGCCCAAGACCTGAGCATTCTTATAGGCCATGGAAAAGGGTATATAGAAGGGCAAGACTGGCAGTGGAAGGAAGAGGGGCTAGTGGAGGAGCATGGAGCCACGGGAGGGTGTAGACTCATAGCACCAGTGTTGGCATTCACAGTCCTCTTCATCTAAGCAGAGGAAGAAGAGGGAAACTTTCTGAGCAGTGATGCCATAGAGGAGAGAAGTTGAAGAAGCTCAGATCAGGTGACCCCAGTCTTCTCTGTAAAGTGGTTGGTGATGTCATCAACTAAGGATCACAAAGATTGAGAAGACGTAGCAATTTGGACTGTGTCCATAAGGGACCCAGGGGTGAGGATAAAAAGAGCCTGGGATATGGCAGTCCAGGCTAAGGAGCAGATGACTAGTCAGCCTTGTTTGTGCCTTTCTCTAACCAGTGCTTGGCAGCCCAGGTGGGCAGGAGTGGTCCTGGGGGCTAAGCCTGGAGTTGGGCAACCAAGTGACCTCCATGCCATCTTAGAAGTGCTCGGGAGGGGATTGGAGGCCAGGGGGCACTGAGAGAAGAGGGAAGCGATGCAAATCAATTGCACAGTACTAACCAGAGCAGGTCAGGAGAGAGGCAGGAGGATGGGGGAGATAAGATCAAAGAGGGTTAATATTGAAGGTTAAGCTTTTTTTTTTTTTAAATGAAAACTTTCAAGCACATAGGAATAGAGAAGAGAGTAGTGAAACCCACATACTCATCCACCAGATTGAAAGCTGGTGTGAACAAGGTAGGACAGGGTGGGACAAAAGAGGGAGAAAGATGCTGAAGGTGAGACATGGATATGAAGACCTTCACCAATGGCCAGGGACAAGGGATGCATGCATTAAATGCTGCATGATAACAAAGATGCATAGTTTTCTGGCTTTCTACATAGCTGGGGAGGAAGGGAGGATGGGCTGGGGGAGAGGGGATGACAAGAACAAGGACAGAGAGCATGGTAGAACTGCACACAGTTCTGGTGGACTCTCGAGGGACTTAGTACTGATGGCGAGGGTAGCCGGCTGGGGGTGACCTACAGCAGAGAGCTGGGAGGAAATGACAACATAATGTTCTCTCTGGCTCCTCAAGCAGATAGAGAAAGAGTGTTCATCCTTGGAGAGGATTGTGAGGGACCCGGTTTCACATGGGGGAAGCCAGTTTTTCTGTCAGTTTTTACCTACTGTGGGGGAAGCAAAGTGTGGTTAAGGGAGGGAAATTTGTCTGTAAGAGGATGGGATTTCCATGTCAGCACCATGGAAAGGACAACAGGGGCTAATGGGCCTGTGGGGAGGAATATATGTTTTGGGTGATAATGAGGATTATGGAGATTTCAGGGCCATGAGGATGTGACTATGTGTGTGTTCATCTGGGCACCTATGAAGTCCTGATGATAAAAATGGAAGAAACAGAGTGGATTTTCAGATCCCTGAAGATGAGGATAACAGGTCCTTTGTGAAGTAGCTCTTAATTAATTCATACACAGTGTATTCTTCACACAATGTGTACTTCTCTGGGACAATCACAGTTCTTTAAAAAAGGATAAGAAATGAAACAGTGTTCTGATTAACTTTTGGATAAGTCGTGTTATCAAAATGTACATTTGTAGTAATCCTGTGTTGGACGTACTTAGTCTCTCATCAAGGAATCTAGGAGAACGGGAGTTTCTTTCTGATTAGGCCTCATAATGCCCTTCTCCAGAATATCTGTTAATAATTTCAGTTGTTCCACAGTGCTTTTAGGCACTGCGACCTCTGCTAATGTAGAGCATACTGTTACAGCCTTAGGCCAATGTCTATGAGTATTTCTTTCCCTTTTAAAATATTTCTTTGGGGCTGACCAGTTAGCTCAGTTGGTAGAGTGTGGTGCTGACAACACCAAGGTCAAGGGTTGGGATCCCCATACCAGCCAGCCACCAAAAAAAACCCAACAGAAATAAAATATTACTTTGGTGATACATAGGTTTTTTAACTTCCATGAGTTCTGAAGCTGACTATTAGGATGGAAGGATACTCTTTTTAAGTCTTAATCTTTTTATGACAAAATAATGGCACCCCAGTAAGTCAGTGACACATGCTTCCCAATGAAGGTAATTTCTGAAAAACATAGTTTTATAGACACACTTAAAAGGGCACTGGGGGTTGGAGGAAGTATCCATTCTGAATTGTAAACCAAACTAACAGTTGAGAATCTTCTCAGGCCAGGCATTCTCATGCATTATCTCATTTAATTCTTACAGTGATGCCATGGAGCACTAGAATAGTGATTTTCATTTTTAAAACGGTCATCATAAATGTTCAGTGACTTTCCAGATGTCACACAGTCAGTAGCATATTTGGAATGTAATTTGTGTCTTGCCCATAGGTCACATTGCTAGTGATCAACCAAGGAAAGTGACACACGTGTGTAGGAAGAATATTAGAAATGTGCAAACAAGCCTTTAGATGTTACAGAATTTTTCCTCACTGCTTAGAGTTCTTTATGATTACATCATGAACCATCCTCTGTGGACGAAAATGTCTAAATGCCACTTAATTGTCATATAGCAAAGAATAAAAGCTAAAATAGATTTTTAAAGATTGCCAAAATAAAAGGAAAATAGATGCTTTAATTTCTGTATTAAATGTCAAGCTTCTGTTGAGCATTTTCTTCTACTTGCTGCTTCAGAAGTCACATACCAATTAAAACCAAAAGTAAACTTTTTAAGCTCATATTCACTGCTCTGAAATAGCTGACTGGCAGCCGTGACCATTGAGACACTTCCCAGTTTTTCTAGCTTTAGTTGGTTTTAAAGATTTATCCTGCTTAGTTTTTTTAAAGAATTGTCACTAAACATGAACAGTGGAGCTTGACTTCCTCTCGTTGTGGTCATTTGCAAGTTGACTAGGGAGAGTCTGTGTCTTCCCTGCAGTACTCTTCCCAAATCAATATATCGTTAGTCTTTGTATTACAGAATTTGAAGTCAAGCCAGGTAACTGTGTTTTGGTAAATGTACAGACTTGAGTAGATTTCTGGGAAGGATGGATCGTTTTATTAAATGGATACTTATCGAATGCATGTGTGTGCTAGTGTGAGCATTACTCTGTACTGTTAGCACATGATTCTTTGACAGTTTGTCTTTGAGCATGTCGTCCTCTAACAATAATTATATTTTCAAAAGGCTGGAGAGAGAGGAGGTAGAAAGAAAGGTGGAAGAGGAAAGGCTTCGCCTAGAAGCAGCAGCCCGCAAACAGGAAGAGGAAAAGAAGTGGCAGGAAGAGGAAGAGAAAAGAAAGGAAGGAGAGGAGGCCAAGCGGAAGGCTGAGGAGGAGCTGCTGCTGAAAGAAAAGCAAGAAAAGGAAAAGCAAGAAAAAGCCATGATTGAAAACCAGGTACTATATGAGTCCTCAAATAAACTTGACTTGTTTTCTGAGGGCTTTAGTTAACTTTAAGTAAAATTAGTTAAATTTGAGTGACTCAATACTTGAAGATTTTTCTTGAATTATCTGGGCTGGTTATTAAATATACGTTATTTGGGGCAATTACAGTGCCATTGGCAGTGTTTGCCATCTGTCAGTTTGGGTTTCCCCAAAGGCAGACCCTAGGGGAAGAATGTGGGTGCCAGTAGTTTTTTGGGAGAGTATCCCAGAAGGGTAGTAGGGGAGTGAAAGGAAAGCCAGTAGAATTGCATTGATGAGTGGCTTACTGTGGGCAACTGGAATTCACTCCCATTGGGACCCTCTGAGAGACTGTGGGTCAGGCCTTTAAATTGTCCTAAAGGATGAGGCAACTGGACTATTTATCTACCAGCTTCTGCCCCTCATTGTGGAGGGTTGCTCCTTGGGGCATTAAGTCCCTGAAACTTCTGGCCACATGCACTGCCCACAGACACAGAAAGACTCTGGCCATGTGTGAGCACTGTCTGCAAGTGATTTGCATGGTGGTCCAGGGGTATATAAATGAGGCCTAACCCATGTCTGCTATGTCAGAGCAGGCTGTGTAAATCCACACTGCATATTAGAGCAGCATCCGCTTCGGGGCAGGTGATGAGGTGAAGGAGCATGTGCAAAGCCCAGGGAATTACTACAGTGTTGTCTTAGATTAATAAAGCCCGTACCTTGATTTACCTGTTTCTATCAGAAAGAAGCAGCAGAAGCAAAGACCCTGGAAGCAGCTAAACAGATGCTTCTAGAAAGAGAACAGATTATGCTGCAGATTGAGCAGGGGCGACTGGAGAGGAGGAAGGTAAGGGCTAAGGGATCAGGAAGATTTAGGGGGAGGCAGGAACAGGAAGAGAATCCAGTTCTGTTCTGCAGTGATTGGGTAGAGTGCTCATAGAAGTCAGTTTGGTCAAGTTCATTGATACTGCTCTTCAAATCTTCTATATCTTTATTAGTTTTTTGTCATCTTTCTATGAGTTACTGAGAGAAGAGTGTTAAAAGCTCCATCTGTGATTATGGATTTGTCCATTTCTCCTTTAAATTCTGTCAGGTTTTGTTTTATATATTTTGAAACCCTGTTAAGTGAATATACATTTCAGCTTGTTAAAGGAGTCAGTTCAACAGGAAAATTTATCATAACATGCCTTTCTTTATCTCTAGTAATAGTTCTTATCTTAAAGTTTGCTTTGGCTGCCTTTTTTTTTTTTTGGCTGCACCACACTCAGCCAGTGAGCGCTGTGAGCGCACCGGTCATCCCTATATAGGATCCGAACCCGTGGCGGGAGCGCTGCTGCACTCCCAGCGCCGCACTCTCCCGAGTGCACCACGGGCTCGGCCCTTGGCTGCCTTTTTTAATGGTGGTTCTCTTACTTGAATCTTTTTGGTTTCCAGAGAATAGATGAAATCATGAAGAGAACAAGGAAGAGTGATGTGTCTCCAGAAGTGAAGGTAGGAATTCAGGTGACCATTTTAATAGTTTATGTACTGATTGAGTAGAAAAGGACAGCAGAATACATTCAAGGAGGGATGGCCTGTTAGCTCAGTTGGTTAGAGCATGATGCTGATAAAACCGAAGTCCAGGGTTCTATCCCTGTACCAACCAGCTGCCCAAAACAAAAAACATACATTCAGGCAAATTGTAGGTCTTGGAGAGGGTTAATGGAGAGCCAGGAAAAATAGACTCTTTCTGCTTTGTTCCTGGCTAGGTTAAGGAGGGTGTAGGTACCTGAAAGGACAGAGGGGTTTCAGAGATGGGGCAGGTAAAAGATTTCCTTGGAGCATTGGGGGTGGGGACAGAAGGAGAGGCTCAGCAGTCCATGAATAAAATAGAGGATGGTGGTGACATAATATAAGGGAGACACAGCTGAAGACTCCTAGAATTACCATGGAACAGGCAGATGGTTCCTCAGGGCTCCAAATATCCTCCGATGCTTTCAGAAAGCACTTGTTTTTCTGTGTAACATCAGCCTTCCCTCTTTATCCCCTCTGTTTTCAGAAAGAAGATCCCAAAGTAGGAATTCAGCCTGCTGTGTGTGTGGAAAATAAGACAAAACCAGTCATTCCCAACAAAATAGGTGAGTGTGAGATCTGGTTCTTGAGTTATTCCTTTCAGTAGCAAGGGCTCGTGAAGCTTCCTACAGGGGAAAAGCACCCGTGGGTCCTAAGAGTGTGACTGCTGGCCAGGGCCTGTGCACTTCCCCTTCCCTGGGGGCATCTCTCCAGCACAGGGTCTGTTAGTTCCATCTGGGAAACCGCCACATTTCTCAGTTCCTCTAAGAATCCCAGCACAGGAGGCATGCTGTCTGCTGGCCCATGATGCTTTCCAGGGATCTTACCTGCTGAGCAGGTTTTATGAATACCTGACTCTGCTTTTCTGTGGAGGCCCCACTCAGACAACTGATAATGTAATTGTCTTCTCTTCCCTTTTGTGAAGGTGGTTACATGGGGTTACTTGTGGTTCTTTCCACAAAAGATGTTGCATCATTGGTGAAACAGGATTAAATTAATTGCCTTGGTATATGTTTTCTCTGTTATTTCATTGTTTTGATATTTTATGATTAACACAAGGACTTTGTGTTCTCAATCAGAAATCAATGGATTGAACACCTGCCAGGATGTTAATGGTGTGGGGCGCCCTACCCCAGAAACTTTTCCCCAAGATGTTTTCTCTAATGGGCTTAAACCAGTTGGGGGACTTGTTCATCTGGATGCCCTTGATGGGAAATCAAACAGTCTGGATGATTCGACTGAAGAAGTTCAGTCTATGGATGTGAGGTATGTCGATTTCTTTGGCATTTAAGCTTCGTCTCTTCCAAACACTGCCACTCTCTTTTAGTTGGTATCTTCATCTTTTACACAACCATATTACCTAAAGCAGGTTTGCTTGACTTTACAGGAAAGTTGTCAGTGTAATACCAGTGCTTGGGTTGGGTTCCCTAGAAGCAGAGTCTGGGACAGAGTTTCCAGGGCATGTGATTTATTAGGGGAAAACTCTCAGGAGTTTCTTAGGACAAAGGGAGAGGAAAGAAGTTGCTAAGCAAGGGTGTGTTCTCAGCTGATCCCACAGGAGTTCTGGAGGATGAATTTCCACTGGAGAGTTGTCCAATTAAGATAAGGGAGGTGGCCTTTGTACCACTGTATCTGTCAGTCATTTACTATGGGCCCCCAGAGTGGGGGGTACAGGTCCAACTTAGTGGGCATAGGGGCTCCTGTCAGCTAAAGGCAGTTGTTTTGAAAAAGGGCAGCAACTGTGACTCTTTAGCAACCAGCTCTCTCTGCAGCTGGGGGATGGGTGCGCCTGCAGGGTCCACTGTATCTGATGTCTCATATTTAAGTAAACTTGTCAATAGAGACTTGATAAAAGAACTAAGTTGCTTTCAGGTCCTAAAAACTTTAGGAATTCTGGGGCCGGCCCGGTGGTGCACTGCTACAGTGCGCCGCTTGGGAGTGCGGCGCCGTTCCCGCCGAGGGTTCAGATCCCACATACAGACCGGCCGCTCACTGGCTGAGCGAGGTGCGGGTGCAACACTGAGGGTTGCGATCCTATTGCCGGTCCCGGTCCGGTACGGGCACGACACTGAGGGTTGCAATCCGTTGCCGGTCACAAAAAAAGACAAAAATGAAAAAAAAAAAACTTTAGGAATTCTTAAGTTGGTATCATGTTTGTAGATAACATCACCTGGCAAATTAATCAGACAAAAGAACTAATTGGCATGGTATTGGAGCAAGTGGACAGCTATGGCTAGGGCAGTTGGAATGGGGGTGGCTCTCTGAGTCAAGAGGGAATGACAGTATTTTGTAAAGGTCTGCCAGATCTCCAGCCTGCCCGAGCTCACTGTTCTCTCCTTGGCTAAGAGTTGTCAGCTTAGTCTGGGGGTGGGGGGAGGTGTTTCCTGTGGCACCCTGATTGTAAATATCCTACCTCATAAGCCCTGGGATTGAGCCAGACAGGTGAAAACCCAGGGCTCAATAGCCTCGTCACCAGTAGAGCAAGTCCTGTGTAGACTGATAGGGCCCCCTCAGCCCTTGCCTGGTTTTGCCCCCCACATCCTCCCTCCTCCACCATCATAGCACACTAACTCTGTCCCTTGCCCCTGCAGAAAACTGAGGCATCTTAAGGGTTAACACAACATATCCCCTTCCCCCATAATGAGCCAGCTGTGCTTATTCTTTTATGTTTTGGGGTAGGGGGAGGGGACAAGTCATGGCACCACTGGCCAGGGTTCAAGAAAGTGAAGGGGTTTTGTGTGTGCACTGAGTTTCCCTGTGACCACCTCTGCATTTACAGAGAGGTGACTCCTGGAGGCCTGCCCCAAGCTCGTGGTAGCATTCTCTCTTCCCCATGCTCTGAGCAGTCGTTCAAACCGGGGGAATGTGCTCGCTTTGGCAGTACATATACTAAGATTGGAACGACACAGAGAAGATTAGCATGCCCTCTGCATAAGAATTTCATGCAAATTTGTGAAGTATTACATATTTTTTTTTAAGTCTGGGGTTCGATCCCTGTACCAGCCAGCAAAAACAATAAATACACCTTGGGAATGGAGGTGGGGCAAGGTGAAGATAGGGAATGTGTATGTGCTAATGAGGCAGTCTGCCCATACTCCAGACACTGGTGCTGTCCCTTAACTGGGCCCAGGTGCGAGGGAGACAGAGCCTCTGAGCTTCTGCAGTTCAAGTGGGTTTTTTTAAGCTTCTTCTCTAATCTCTCGTCAAGGAAGAAAAGAAGAACCTGGCAGTAGCCTTGCTCTGGCTAAGAGACTCTTGGTGACAGACCCTCAATTCCCAGCCCACCACTCTTCTGAGCCTGGATTTGCTTGTTAGCTAGGCCTGTAGCTGACACAGTGATGAGACTCCTCCTTCCATCTCTAGGGAGAGCAGAGAGAGAGAAACCCAGGCTCAGCTGGGCAGGAGCTGGATAAGTCAGGGTGGACTGGAAGCCTCGCTTTGGAGAGGAAGCAGTGGGTGAGATCTATTCTGCAGGTCACTGGGTGTCTGGTTACTTTGTTAACAATAGCCCCCAACCATAACTGAGCACTTACTTCAGATGGCTCCACATGAACACCTCCCAGCTTGATCTCATTCACACTCTGAGCATTGGTAGGGGGAAATGATTGTTATTCCCATTTTACGGGGGTCCAGAAACTGAGGCCAGAGGAGGAAAGCAGCTTGCCCAAGGTGGCACTGCTAGAAAGGCAGTGTCAGGATCTCCATGTTAATTAGGATCCTTCCTCAGCTTGTTTTGGACTTCTAACATTTGCTTTCTATTTGGATGTCCCAGTCTGAAAGTTCTGGAAGTGCCTCACTTCTCCCTAGTAGAGTGCTGGTGCCTGCAGGTTTTTTCCTTCACTCTTTGGGCAGCGTGAGCTTGGCGTTCACAGCCCTGCTCAGTATACTTCCCTTTTTCTCATCCACCAGCTTCTTAGATTTGAACTTACTTGTATTTTTTACAATGTGTCACACCCAAACTCAGACTCTAAATTCATCTTCACTAGGAAAGAAGAGTAGTATAACAAAATATTACAAATAGAATTAATCTGTTGTGCTTAGTTCTCGTGATCTCTCCCTCTCCCCCTTCCCTCCCTCTTTCTCTCTCATCTCTTCTAGTCCTGTTTCAAAAGAAGAGCTTATCTCCATCCCAGAATTTTCACCAGTGAGTGAAATGATTCCTGGGGTGTCTCTGGACCAAAATGGAACTGGTAATGCCCGAGCGCTTCAAGATATCTTAGATTTCACTGGCCCCCCCACATTCCCCAAGAGATCCAGTGAAAATCTCAGCCTGGATGACTGTAACAAAAACCTTATCGAAGGATTTAACAGTCCTGGCCAAGAAACTACTCTGAACACCTTCTGTTGACAAATTCAACATCCCTTTAAGGAGAGGTACAGTCTTTCGATGATATTCTAAATCCATAACTCTCCAACTGCAGTTTGTGAAGATAGGATGAACATCACTTGGGCTCCTGGATGGTCCGTTTTATTTGAAAAACGGAAACACAAAAATATTATGGTGTGTACTGCAGCATACACAAGAATTGAGATGGATTTCAAGTAATTCCTTTACATGCGAGCCCCACCCTGCCCCTCCTGTTTGGGGTGTGTGGATAAGAAGGTTGAGAAGCTAAAGGTTTGACCACCTATCTGTCTCAAGTAGCACCTTTTTTAGAGACAAGTAGAGAATGCTGTAATAGTGTTGTAAGGCAGTATTAGTAAAAGGAATCCCTTTTCCCTCCCAGTTTTACTCACAAACATCCCACATTCTATCTAGAATTATTCATATACATTGATGAGTTTTGGGCCAAATGATTTGCTGTTTTGTGGACCCATTCTGGATTCTTCCAAAGACATCTTTTCTTGGATCATACCTGAGGGAGTAAGAGAGGGAAGAACTGCAATTTGTGCCCTGAAAGTTTTTCCCCCACCTTTAGCCTTTTTTCTAGGCAGAGTGCTTCTAGAAGCTATGCTTATTTGAGTAAAAATATCAATGGGTTATATACACTCTGCAGTTATGTGCACTTAGTTATAGATACTATAACTATATAATTTCTTTTGATTACTTCAGTTTGGGGCTTGTTTTTGGATAATGAAAACATAATTAGAACCTGTCACCAAATCCTTTCATAACTTAATAATTCCAATTGCTCGTCCCATTTTAGACTCTTAAAAACATTTTTATATTCTCAGCGTTCTCTCAGTCACTTTATTTTTTATGATGCTCCACTCCTATAACAGAAATTCCATGCCTGAAATGATTTAGTCCAACCTTTTTATTTCTCAAATGAGGAAACAGGTTGGGGAAGCTACATGGCCAAGATCACTGTTTCATGTCCTACTTATTTCTACCTAACCTCAGCTCTTGCCTGTAGACAACAAGTTTTAGAATCCACTCCTCTCAATGCTTGGGAAAGCAGTTGCAGTCCTTTGACATGTGAAGAGGAAAGCGTGACAGGTCACTTTTAGATTCTTGGGCACGTAAAACACTAATTTGCCTGTGCATTCTATTTCCCTAACAGTTACATGGCTTAATATTTAAGAGGTTTCTTTTATTGGTAGCAAACCTTGACTTAATTAGCTTTCCTTCAGTTTTCTTACTTCACTAACCAGTAAGGACCAGAAAATCCACAAAACTTAGGAGAGTATTTCTGGTCCTCAAATTTATTTCCTACATCTCTAACTAAAAGAAGTGCAAAATCTCTTTCCAAAAAGAAAAAATCTTGACTAAAGCATTCTATTCACACTGCTTGTAGATTTTAATTTGTGACATAGTCTGGTTCTCAAATTCTTCTCAAGCAAAGGCAGTCCCACTCCCCACTAGGGGGCATTTGGAAAGGTGTTGGTGGGTTTTGTTGTCTCAGTGGCTGGGGGCATTTGGAAGGCAAAACTTGAGATGTTAAACATCTGCAGGTTTTAGGAACGTTTCACACAAGGAAAATTTGACCCACCTAAAGAAAAATAGTTCTATGCAAAAGACTATAGCATTTCTGTTGAGAAATACTATATGAGCCAAGGAAAATATAATTACCAAGAAGGTAGAAAGTATACTGTACAGTCATTTTAGAGAGAGGATAGATGCTACAAACTGTAAAATACTTGGTTTCTTCATTGGTCTCACCTGATTTTGTTTTTGAATTGCCGCAGGTGGGGTTTGGAGACCCCGTGAAGCTGCTGGTAGTCAAATCCAAGCTGCTGGCCATCTGAAGACACTTCCGTCCCCCTTAACTGCTGGATTCCAAATTATCACATCGGAATGTAACTGTATTCCTAGGTAGTCTGTCAAACACTGGCCACTCTTGGTACAAACCTTGAGACTTTTGCCATGTTGGGCTTTAGCAAAGTTTCATTTTATGGTTCTATTTATGAGCTTCAGCTGCTGATAAAACACTTCCTGTACTCTGTTATCATAGTGATCCTCTGATTCTGGCTCAGAAATCCACTTTATAACCATTCTTATTCCCCAAGTTGGAGCACATAAACATTTAGATGTCTTTTCCTGTAAACTATTCTAGACATTTACCCAAACTCTAGTTAAACATATACTCAACTTGGGCTGCGTATCTCCATTTCTTTGTTTAGAAGGAGAAGTAGTTCAGGAGCTTCCCCCTCCCCCAGGGTTTTCTCTTTTGGAAGGCACTATCAAGAAACCTTATTTGTATTACTAAGCTTTGCCACCTGCAAAATGCATGGCCCCACATTACTCTTTTGAGTTTACAGTAATAAGTTTGGTTGAGTAAGGAAGTAATTAAACAACAATTTCTGTTCTCTTACGCATATTCTTGTATACATGAGCAACCTAGCAAGGACCCTTCTTGTCACACCTTAAAATCTCCAAACTGTAGTCACTCCAAATCACGGAGTGGCTTTCCAGCTGGATGAATTGTGTGTCTCCTGTGCAGTGGCTAATTTCCATGTTTTTGCTATTGTTTTTCTCTTGGATCTTGAGGGTTTTCTTTGTTTGCTCCTGTGTTTGCCCAGCTGTAATGAAATCAGGCACAACTGAAAATCATAGTTCTCTGAAACAAGGGGGCTCCAAACTGGTCCCAGTATGTCACTTTAATAAACTTTAATAAAAAACATCTGAGTGGGGGGGAAATGACACTAGAATGTATACTCCACACATTTGATGCCATGTAATGGTGTGTTATTTTTTTCATTTCTTATGGTGAAATGTGACTTTCAAATCAAAATGACCTTTTCTTTGAAACTTTCTAATTTGAGTTGTACAATAAAGGGTTTGGAAAGATCCACAATTCTGAGAGAGGTTTGCAACCAGGAGATATAAAGAAGTCTCAATAGTAATCTTCATATGCTTTTAAAGACAGCTACAGTTTAAGAATTTATTGGGTATGGAAACTGTGTATGTTTGTGTATGTGTATATACTGAATAAAATACATGCCTCCAATAATGCGGTGCCATTGATCTTGGTTAATATCAGGGGGAAAATCCCTTTTATGACAAGCACACAGAAAATGATAGCATGGTCCTACTTTCAAAAAATGCCTCGCCATCTTTCTTATAACTTCATTTTGCTAAATGTCTGTTTTGTTGTGATCTGTTGTACCTCACAGCACCATTGTGATCATGGTGATGCCTCATTTGCATGATGTGTAGATTGTGTTTAATGTGAAATACATTTTCATTGAAGAGTCTGATGGTTTGCTGGTGTTTTGTTTGTTCCTATAAGCTCAATGAAGAAATGTGCTAAAATCAAACCAAGGTTTTTAAAACCTGTGTGGGAAAACTCCCAAAATCCTGAATGGGTGTCCTTCCTCTGTCAAACTCATTAAAAATCTCTCCGTCATCAGTGCTGAGTGGAGCATTGTGGAAATGGACTCTCCCTAGAATGTGATGAACCTGAGTACAGTCAGTAGCTGATGAGAGGGACTTCTAGCTAGCTAAGACACAGTTAACCTTGGTGTAATCTACGAGAACGTTTCACATAGCAATTTGACATTTAAACGGAATTATAATGGGAATCTTGACCTTCATTTTTAAGTAAGCTGAAACCCAGACCAGCTTTTTTGATCTAACTCACGGGCTTGTCCACTGCTTGGAAGACAGTACCAACTCAGACAAGGACCAGGTGGACAGGACTAGAATTAGGAACCCCCATGGTAACTTTCAGGCTGCCTTCTCTGAAGCTGAGGGCCTAGTCAGCACAGCCCTCCCCAGCTCAGTTGACAAAGCCTCTGGTCGGGGTACAGGAGTGACACCAAATATTTACATACACAGGTCTCTGACGGGGGCATTAAAAGTAGCTTATGTCATCATGAGCTCTGGCCATGGTGGTGACCAGTCATTCCTAAGAACAGTTTCTAATTTGTGAACATTGTAAATTTGTCTTAGTTTCCTATTAGTCAAATGCTTTTGTAAATGAAATTTAGAAAGCAAATGTAATGTAAAGAACTAATTTGTTTCTAGAAGCATACTCATTACATTGCGGCACAGCACAGAGTGACCTCCATCTGCACTTCTCAGCACTGTTGAGGAAGCACAATTATGTAAGAAAACGAAGTGAGAACTCTTAGAAACATTAGAAACGAGAGGCCTTTACAGATCCTTTTTTTTCAGGAAACTCAAGAGAAACAACTGGAAAACTCTTAGAATAATCTCACAGGGGGCCAACTACTAAAGAAAATAGTTTTCTTGCATGTTAGCAATAAACAGGAAATAGATCCCAGCAAAAACTATAAAATTCCTAGATACCACTATATCTAAAACTTGACTGAGGGGTGTTAGCATAGACATAAATGGAAAGGCATTCCATATTCCTGATTGGGGACAACCTATGCTTGTGAAGAAAGCTAATAGCAGGTGGCACTCACATTTGTGCCAATCAATGGGATTTCTTTTTGACAACTCGAAAATATAATTGTACGGTTCTTATAAGAAAATGAACACAAAGCTAAGAAACTTGGGAGTTTTTAAAAAGAGAATTTCTCTAACAGTAAAATACATGATAAAACTTCTGTAACATATAGTGTAGTCTGATAGAGAAATAGAATTTGGAGTAGCAGTAAAAATCAAATACATACCCAAGATATATAAGAATCTAATGAACTGTGGGGTGGGGCTGGACCATTTGTGCCTGTAGAAAGGTAGCAGGCAGTTTAGTGTCTCAAGGTCAGCTGAGTTTAACATCTCTGATGGGGTGGGGATAAAGTCCCAGAAGTCACAGTGAGGAAATGACAGCAGCAGGATCCAAGGTGTGGGTACCAATCACGGTTCAAGGTTTAAGTCAGGGACAAAATTTAGACACAAGGCTTAGGAGCAGCCTTTAAAGACCCTGAACTGCTGGGTACCCCTGGGATGTGCTGTGTGTGCTCTCTCAGGACGTAAGGAGCAGTGGGCCTTTGCTCACCTTGCGTAGGCTTCTGCAGAAGTGGACCACAATGACAGGCAGCATGTACTGGGTTCCTGCTGTACGCAAGGTGGTTCTAAGACTTTTCCATGCTACAAAGTAGGTATGAGAAGGTAACTTTCCCAAGGACACACAGCTGGAACTTAATAGAGCCGGTTTGACTCCAGAGCCCCAGTTTTGGTACCCCTGGGGGGGCTGACAGGTTCTTCTGCCCTGAAAGCAGCAAAAATGTTTTGCTAGAGCAGGTGCTTATAGCGGTGAAGGGCCAGGACCCCCATGGGAATCCTAGTTCTGGGTATGCTTTAAAAAAAAAATTATTGAGAGATAATTCACATACCATGAAATTCACCCTCTTAAAGTATGCAATTCAGTATAGTCTTTACTATGTTCACAAAGTTGTGCAACCATCACCACCAATTCTAGAACACTTTTATCAGAGTGTGCTTTTTCAGGGGTTTGTTATTCATTCATCCACTCACAGCAGAAGAGCTTGGCTTTATCAACCATTCGTTCAAGTTCTCATTGTACCTGGAAGCAAGAACATGGGATTTTAAGTAATATTCTCTGAAGAAGTCGCTTCCCCTTCTCCCCCTTCCAATAGGCCAAATTAGGGTGGTGTTTATGTACCTTAGTTAGCGTGGGCTGTTGTTCCGCATTTGCTACATAAATATGGGATCAAACGCCAAATACAGGCTCACTTATCAGATGCCCAGCACGGGTCTCCTAGACTTAGATTGGGCGAAACTGATTTAAAACACTGAAAATCCTGAACCTTTGGAGACATGCCTTTCACAGTGACGATAGAATCAGGGGTGGGGTGACCTACACTGTGACGCTACTTGCCTGGTGTTTCTGGGACAGATTGCCCATGTTGACCACTTGGGAAGGAGTGTTTCAGTGCCCTCTTTTCTCCCCCTAAGGTCCAGCTCAGGGTCCAAGGCAAGGGGCAGTCAATGTGCAGGAAGAAACCACCTACTGCCCAGAGCCTGAGGGCCACCTCCCAAAGGCAGAGGGAGCTGCGGCTTCAGGGGTTGCACCTGGAGAATTCACTTTCCTTATCTTCCTTCACACTCTGCAGTAAGTAAGCAAGAACCTCCTGCAGAGGCTTCTATGCTGTAGGTAACGAAAGCCAAAGTCCAGCTGGCACCCAGGGATTGTTAGGGGAAATGTCTAAAGCTGCCAGCCTTCTGGACTTCTAAGAAAATATTAAAGCGGTCTTTCCCTATCTCACCTTATCTATGTCAGGGAAATGCAAAATGCAAGGAATAGAGTCCCAAGGAATTGAACCTTTGTGTAAAGTAACTTCTTAGAATTAGAGCCAGCAGCTCTTTGTTGGCTGTACTTGTCTTTTAATCCCATTTTCCTAATAGTATATGTAGACTCATCTTTGAAACAACAGGATCGTCCACTCAGAAGTGATAACTAGGACAGGGCTATATGTCACACTCAGTAGATATGTGTAAAACTTGTTGGATTGAATTCAGTCAGCACAGTGGGACCCATAGGATGTTTCAGGACAAAGTGAATATTATTAGTCCTGCTGGGAGGAAAGAATAAATTCCATTTGCTCGGTGGACCTGGCCTTCTGAAGGGTTCTCAGGGGCCCACCCCTGTGCAGTGACAGCCCTGGTGGTGAGTACAAGTTCAGTGTTCACTGATGGTAAGAAAGTATCCAGAATGTGGAAGTAAGGCAGAAAGATAACAGCATGCCCTTTCAAAGCCCTGCTAGAGTGTTGTCTTAACAAGGCAGCCTAAGGGTCAGCTGAATCTCAGGGTGTAACTTTGTATGCCTGACTATGTGCTATTGGTTAGGACCCAGTCTCTGGAGTCAGGTATTCACTTGTAGATAGAAAATTGAAGACGATTTTTGTCATGTAGAAAAGATAATGCCAAAGATTATGTCTATTTGTCTCTGTGGGACACTAAAAAATTCTGTCTCTAACTTTGCATTCTTATTCCAGCATTCTCTTTTCCACTAAATATGTGTGTGCATGTGTGTATACATACATATATGTGTGCATGATAATCTGTCCTCATATCCTCCTCTGAACCAGCTCTGTCATCCTGCTCCTTAATGAGTTAAATACATTCAGACACATGCTTGCTGTGTATGTACATCACAATCATGTTTTTAACCTTTGGGCAGTTATACTCTGACAATGAGGTAGCCTTAAGTCCTCAGCAGGATTGGGGAAATTTTAAACAGCTATACCAATGGCTTCAAATTTCACATTCAGTGCTAGTATAGTGGATGTCGTGGTGCACCACCCGGACAGACCTCCCCTTTAGGACTGAGGTAATCATCCTTCCAGATGCTCGAGGTACAGTCACTGAAGTCTGTTGGAGTTCCTTTCCAGGAATTGCCCTTGGCTGAAGGAGGCTGCCTCACCAAGGTTAAACCTCCTCATGGGGCGGCCTGGATCCAGTGGCTGTACAAAGACCTTTGCCTCAAAGCGCGACAACTCAGAAGGGGCTGTCCCAGCTTCAGAGCTCCTTGTGGGGTTACATGAGGCCTTTGCTAAGACTGCATTGCAGCTCAAGTTCTCTCTCCTGCTTCCTTCACATCCCCCAAACACTCTGCATATGCTGCCTGTGTGATCGGTCTCAGAGTCTGTTTCCTGGAGAACCCGCCCTGAGCCAGCCAGGAGTTGTGCTAAGGGCTTTTCATATCTTGTCTCTTAACCTGTAAAACAACATTCTGACATTCTGAGATAGGCACAGTTGTTACCAGTCTCACTTCAACATGAGGGACCCAAGACTCAGGCTGAGTGGCTTGTCTGAGGTCACACACCGCCAGGACGTACATAGCTGGGCTCCAAACCCCAGGTTTGCTCTGCAACCTGCGCTTGCCCTGGCCCGGCACAGCTCAAAGTTGCTTCCTGGGGAAATCAAACAGGCCCAACCCCCAGAGGCTCTTGCTAGGCTACACATCTCCTAGCTATGTTTGCAAGTTTCCCAATCAATCTCCTCAGCCAGCTTCCCTCACCAGAAGTTGTTGCTGACTTTGAAAATCCTTGAAAATCTTCTGCTGAGGGCATTTAATCCATCTTTGTATTGCTCACTCCAGCAGAATATGTGCACCTTCCATCTGGGAGCATAGACAGTTGGTATGAGATATTTTTTTCCTCATCCAGGAGGTAACCCATTTCATAACTGCTCATTTATTAAGCAACTAGGAATGAATACCTACTCCATGCCAAACATTTTGCTAGGGCTGGGGATGGAGCAGAGAATAAGACTAGATATTATCCCCACCCTCCTGGAACTTATGGTCCAGCAGGAAAGAGA